TAAAATAAACAATTTTTACTATGAGATTTATAAAATAAAAAATTTAAATTGAAATTGATTCATCGATAAAATTGAAATTGAAATTAGATTTATGAAATTGAAATTGATTCATCGATAAAATGTGACTTTTTCTTCTATTTATAGATAATTTTTACTATGAGATTTATAAAATAAACAATTTAAATTATTATTGTAAACTCAAAATTTTATAACAATAAAATATATAAAAAAATAGTAGCGTAGAGATTTAGGATTCGTTTGAGATGTGGATTGGATATTTGGTTTTTTTTTTAGCTATTTTACTCTGGGATTAAAAAATCTCGTTTAGGATAGACTTTTTAGATTTTTTGACTTTTGTAAAAAAAAATTAAAATAATTATGAGTTAGATATAATATTTTGTCTTATTACATTAAAAATTTTATTTTATTTTTTTTTGACTAAAATAATTAAAGAACTAAAAAAAACTTCGCATGCCAAACGAAGGGTTACCATTCTCCAAAAGTGGTGCCACTTTGCGGCTTTGAAAATTCTTCTCTCTTGTGAATATATGTAGTTTTTTGGTAAGAAATATTGTGAGTGTGCTTGATTTGCATTTTGAGATAAATTTTTCAAAAAAATTTAGGGAGAGAGTTTAAAATATTTTTTGGTTTATTTAGTTGTATATTTTGAAAATAGTTTTGGAGTTTGGGAGTTTGGAATGATTTGATATTTTGCTGTAATTGAGTAGATACGTGTGAGAAAAAAAGAGTAAAGAGAAAAAGTGATTGATTGATGTGTAATAGGGAGAGAAGTAATTTTGAAAATTTTTAGAAAAATTTGTAATCAAACATGTTTTTAGAATTTTTTTTCTAAAAACATGTTTCAAAACACAAACCAAACACACCTTGTGGGCATGTATACAGATCCTTTTTGAGCTTTATGTCCTCTTCCAAACTGAGAATTGCGTCAGAATGGGAGAGGAATAAAATCATGAAAAAGATAGAGGCAGAGAGAGATCACGGGTTAATTTTAATTATAAAACTGAATATAAATATAATTTTAAAAAAAATATTGCCAATATCCGATATAACTTTATGTTTGGGTTGGATTTCTAAAATTATTTACTGATTTTTTTTAAAATAAAAATTAATTTGACAAAAAATAAATATCAAAAATATTGTTTTTGAATTTTTAAAAATGATTTTAGCGATCGAAAAAAATAAGACTATATACAAATGATAACTATTTTTGATTTTTTTTCACAAAATTAATTTTCAATTTTTTTCTTAAAAAAATCTGGAGAGGAATAAAATCATGAAAAAGATAGAGGCAGAGAGAGATCACGGGTTAATTTTAATTATAAAACTGAATATAAATATAATTTTAAAAAAAATATTGCCAATATCCGATATAACTTTATGTTTGGGTTGGATTTCTAAAATTATTTACTGATTTTTTTAAAATAAAAATTAATTTGACAAAAATAAATATCAAAAATATTGTTTTTGAATTTTTAAAAATGATTTCAGCGATCGAAAAAAATAAAACTATATACAAATGATAACTATTTTTGATTTTTTTTCACAAAATTAATTTTCAATTTTTTTCTTAAAAAAATCTGAAAAAATTATAAAAATTAAAACAAGCATGGCTTTAATTTTTTTTTTTTTTTTGCAAATATATGTTTTATTCAATGTACTTTTAAAAAATGAATTGTTCGAATCATGAGTGGTACTCAAAGGGGGTGTTTGATGTGACTTATTTTGGCCAATTTATAGATTTTAATTTTAAAAAAATTATTTTGAACTGTTTGATTAAACTTATTTCAAATAATTTTTTATTTTACTAATTTATTTATACTCAAAAAGTTGATTCTGATAAGTTCTTCATTCTTATTATCAACTTTTACTATGGGTATGTTAATTTATGACTATATCCTTAGATTTTATTTTTTTTTTTTTGAAAATAGAAAAAAACCAAAATAGACTGTGGATTAATTATTTTTATGAAAAATGTGGACTAGTAATGAATAACAAAAAATTAAAGTTAATTCAATTTACAACTAACAAAGGTTAATTCAATTTAAACAGGGGCAAAAAAGATATTTATACATTAAAAAACTATTTCACGGCTTATTTATCAAATACTACTCAGTAACTTAAATTTATAATCTAACAACTGCACCAAACAGATTTACAATTTTTGATTAAAACTATAATCCATTAAATTATAATCTATAATATGTTTTAAACACTCCCAAAGTAGACCCTATCCTATATGTGTTTTCTTTTAAGAAAAGACTTCTCTCCAGTCTGCAAAGTGGAGTAGACGATATTGTTTGGCCCGTGGAATCTACCACGAGTCTCATTTTGATGATCCGAATCGTCAATATTTACAACTCGTTGAGAATTTCATCATTACAAAAAATCACGTTAATCGGATATCGATAACTTGATTAGATCATGTTTTTGTCAATGATAAATATTATTTCAAAAATAAATTATTGACATGTATTCTGATTAAGTGTTTATTGATATTCGATCAATGTAATTTTATAATAAAATACTGAACAAATTTTACATATTAAGTGATCCGAATAATCGAAATAAAACATATAATAAGGCTCACGAACCTAACAACATCCTCTAATTCACTGAGAATCTTCCCCGTTTCTTTTAATACTCTCTCCATCCTAAATTGCTAGTCTATTTTCATTGTTCCACCACAAATTTCAAAAAAGCATTTATATTTTTAAATTTATTTTTCCGCGATTTTATAGACTTTATTTACAAGAATTAATTGAGATTTTTTAATTTGCAAAAAAAAATTATTTTTTAAATAAAAATACATTATTTATTGGTCCAATTAAAGGATACCTAACAACTAGTTTTGAACTATAAAACAAAAAAATAAAATAAATAAAACCTTTTGTTTACTTTTCAAAACACAATTCTATTTTTAAATCATGATTTGGATATATATTAAGCGAACATATTTTAAAAAAAATACTATAAATCTCAAATAATCTATTAAATTTTCTACCAACACAAACCTATATATTTGTGGTTCCACGTTTGGTATAAAATTTGATAAATTATTTAGGGTCCCTGTATAACTCTATTTTAAAAATACAATTCAAAATTATTTTCAAAACTATCTCTTTTCTTTTATTTTTTCTTTTATTATTAATTAATCAATTAATCAATTTTTTTCTCATCTCTCTCTCTCTCTCCTCTCACATTCTATATATCAATCAATTAAAAAATAAAAATAAGTATAAATCATTTTAAAACTATTTTCAAAACTAATAACCGAATAATTTTTTTCTTTTTAAATCATGATTCAAAAACTTAAAACTCAAAACAAAATTTCACTTTCAAATTATAATTCTAAAATTAAACTAAATAGACGTTCTAGTCTTGACGTTGAATTTGGTGCATTATAGCGGGGGAGGAGGCGGTTTGCTAATGTACACCGGTGGTCGATGAGAGTTATTGGAGGCCAAAAAGGTGTAGGCATGGATAGAGTGGGACTGACTAGTGTGTGCGCACCAGAGAAGAAACAGTGGGAACAAGCATGCATTAGTTATTTTTGTCATTTATTGAGGGCCAGAGGTAGTTTTTGACTTGCCATTTTTAAGAACAAGCATGCATTTGTTATTTTTGTCATTTATTGAGGGTCAGGGGTAATGTCAGTGAGCTTAAAAATTTTATTAAAAATTTTACTAAATGTTTTATATTTGAATTCTATAACCATATAAAATATTTGATAAAAGTTTTAATAAAATTTTTAATATTTTTGTATTTTGAAATCATTAATATGACATTGCAATTGACCACAAACATACCCCAATTTTTTTTTAAAAAAAAAATAAAAAAATAAAAAAAATAAATTAATGGTGAGTCAATCAAATGATACCAAATTTAATGGGAAATTGTTTTGTAAGGAAAATATAATTCAGGATAGATTTAGAAAATAAATTACTCATAAGTAGTTTTTGACTTATCATTTTGAAACCATTAATATGACATTACAATTGAACCCAAACATACGAAAAACATAAAAATAGAAATAGAAAATATATAAATTAATTAATTTTGAGCCAATCAAATCATACCAAATTTAATGGGAAATTATTTATAAGGAAAATACAATTCAGGGTAAATTTAGAGAAAAAAAAGTTTAAATATTAATAATTAAATTCCTAATTTTTTTCATGCATCCGCAACTATTTAAAAAAAAACCTTCTGAATCGTAAATTTTCCATTGTTTATTTGGTTCTATGTTATTTAATTCCTAGAAAATTTTCTTTAATTTTAGAGGTGCTCAAATTTGGTGAACTGACAACTTGTTTAAAAAGTGTGATTAAAAAGTAGTAGTGTATATATAATCACACTTTAATTAGAATGTGTGATTAAAAAATATATAAATAATCACACTTTAATTAGAATGTGTGATTCTCGATGCATGTCATCTTCCTGTACCTTTAATTTCATGCTGTTAATGAAATTTTTCTTTGCTGATCAAAAAAAAAAAAAAAATTAGAATGTGTAATATGGTCTTCTCCAATGAAAATAAATATGTTGATTATGATTAATAAACTTAATTCAGTCAATACAATTACATCCTATTAAAATATTAATTATTAACTTGTCTAAAAACTTAAGATATGACAGAGAGACAATTTTATTATTTATATTATATTTGTCCTATGATTCTTTATTTTTTTTTTTAAAAATTATTCTAATGAACTCTCAGCTATTAAGACATGAGAATAAATAAATTTGATGAGTGGAAAGATCACGGGTGGAAGTGAGTAATTTTAGGAGTGCATGAAATATATATTTTTATATGAGCAATAAATAATTATTTAATTTTTTCTTCGTCTTCTTTTTACATAGGACATTTCACATTCTCCATTAACAGTGATTGTACCATGATTCATAGTCAACAATATCATAGTTCATGCAAAAACATGGTCATAAAAAATAAAAAGTAAATAAAAAATTTTAAAACTGACCTCCATTGAGCCAAAGAACAAGAGGCTTATTGTGAGGAATTGTGGTAGATTCAGTCAACCAATAAAAGAGAGCTCGGCCGTGTTGTTCATTGACAGTAATGTAGCCTGAAAACTGTGAAAATGTGACCATTGGTTGACCAGGAAGTGCAGTGATTCGATCCATCTCTTGTTGTTTTGTTTTTGAATCAATATTGCCATTGATTGATACAATAAAGACAAAGCTCAACAATATTATTGTTGACCTCCTTTTTGCTTCATGAGTTGCCATAGCAGAAGTCTCTTCTCTCTCTCTCTCTCTCTCTCTCTCTCTTATGTACTAGGGAGGCTTGGAGTCTAATCTTGGGTTTTTATTAACTGCACAGTGCACTCTTTCTTTGTAAGATGGACACAGTATGTGGACCTTCTGTCTCCCTCTCTGTCTCTCGTCTTGCTATTTTGAGAGAGAGACAGAGACAGAGAATTGTGATGTATTTATGATGTTGCTGCTTTATGGATTATGGGTTCTAACCAAGTTCTGGTGTAGGTTCAAATTGCCTTGCAGGACCAGCTCATCTCTCCCTTCTTCCTATGCGTGGGACTGTGGACCTATCAACGTAGGAAGGTGGGAGGGAAGGTTAAGGGAGAGGAATAGTTGTGGGGAGTTTTGGATTCTTTAGGCCACGTTTGTTTGATATATTAAGGCCTCGTTTGGGAACAGGCTAATTTAGTAACTTTTTAGCTATTTGGCTAAAAAAGTAGGTAAAAAAAACTTATATGTTTGGGATGACTTTTTGGCTAATTACGAAAAGATGTGCAAAAAGTAGAGAGAAAAGAGAATCTTTGACTTTTTTGTATGAGTTGTTGGCTTTTTGGCTAAAAAGGTAACTTTTTGGCTTTTTGGCTAAAAAGGTAAGTCCCCAAACGGGGCCTAAGTTAGATAAGATTATTAGTGAAGGGATAGTCAATGAATAGATTGTTAATATCGAGATTAAAAATATTAGAGTTTTCAAAAGTCTTATCAAAATTTTCACTAAATGTTTTACATGGGTGTAGGACTCACATGCTAGAGATCCTAAAAGTTTTACTAAATATCTTACCTGGGTGTGAGACCCACATGCTAGAGATCCCAAAAGTCTTACTAAAATTTTTACCAAATATCTAACATAGTGTGGGTCTCACACCAATGTAAGACATTTGATAGAACTTTTGGGGTATGTAGCATTACTCTATGGAGATTGTTAATGAGAGGATTAAGTAAAAGTATATTGAATTAATGATAGTATAGGAGATGATTAGTGATGAGATTGTTAAATTATTTTTATATTAAAAAAACTAAAACAAATATTAAAATAACCATGTGCACTTGGTAAAATAAAATAAATTTTTTTTTTTTTTTTTGTAAAATAGACTTAATTCTCTCACTATTTTCCTAATCCCACCTAGAACTCAGCCAAGCTAATCTCTTACTAACAGGGATTACTAAGCCCTTTAGACTATCAATCCACTCTCTCATTTCACTGCTAAACATGATGTGGGTGGGACTCATAGTCATGGTAGTCCAATCCGGCCACTTAAGCCGCAAAACAAACATGGCCTTAATGCTATACAACACAAAGAGGTCGATTTGGTGCAATTTATGACAAGTTATGCTAGGGATTTCAAATAAATTATCAAATATTTTACCAAACCTCTCACATGGGTGTATGAATCACATATGTGTGGGTCCCATACTCATGTAAGAGATTTGGTAGAATATTTGATAATTTATTTAGGGTCTCTATTATGAAAGGATAATGTTAAGGATACTAAATTTTCTACCAAATATCTCACATGGGTGTGCAATTCGTAATTTTGTGGACCCGACACCATGTGAGACATTTGATCATTTATTTGGTAGAAAATTTGAGACCTATAACATTTTCCTTTATGAATTGCTTATACAATTTAAGATTATTTACATTAAGATCCTTTTAACTATTAATGAATATTATTTTATATTACTTTTAATTATAAAAATGTATCACTATTACTCCTTTTTGGCAGCCTCCAAAAGGGGCTTATTTGTATCATTTTTATAGCTGAGATGGTTAATATGTATGGATTCATAAATGAGTAAAATGATATTCGTTAATAATTGAATGGGCCTTAGTGTGATTAATCCTATAATTTATGATGCGGAATAATTAAATGAATTTTTAAAATTTATAAAGTTTATTATCAAAAAAATAAGGGCAGAGATGCTTTTAATTTTAATTTTAATTTTTGATTGTCAGTTTTAAACTTGCTAAAAGTTATACCCAAAGGGTCGCTAAGGAGACAGGTGAAACTACATCGTATTAAATAATTTATAAAGTTTATTATCAAAAAAATAAGGGCAGAGATGCTTTTAATTTTAATTTTAATTTTTGATTGTCAGTTTTAAACTTGCTAAAAGTTATACCCAAAGGGTCGCTAAGGAGACAGGTGAAAAAACTACATCGTAAATAACGTCACGCTTGCCAATTCAATATTTTAATTTAAAAGTTAAAATGTTAATATAAAAATTAAAAAGTTAATAATTTATATAAATAAGTCAAATATTTTCTTTTTTTTCTTTATTTTTTTACATAACTTTTTGTAAAAAAATCAAAAAATTATTTTAAAAATACCAACTTGCTTGTTTTAATTTTTCAAAAAATTCTACTTTCTTATTTTCTGTGTTTTTTTATTTTTATTGAATTTTTAATATTTTAAGCAATTTTTTTACTTTTTAGACACCTAACATAAATACACTTAAAAAGTAAAAAAATTGTAAAAAAAATCTTTTAAAAATTTACTAAATACTAAAAATACAAGAATTTAGTACATTTTTTTGTATTTTTATGTATTTCTTAATTTTTTAAAATATTTTTTCACAATTTTTTACTTTTTAGACACATCTAAGTAAGGTGCATCTAAAAAAGTAAAAAAAAATGTTTAAAATTTTAAAAATATTCACTAAAAACAAAAAAATATGAAAATCAAAAAATTTAATTTTTAGAAAACTTAATCCAAAAAACTCAAACTAAACACACTAATTTTGTTTACCTTATATCTTAAAAAAAACAAAAAATTATTAAAATAATATATTCTCAAATGTACCTGAGTATAGTTGGCGCTCTAAAAGTTAATAAAGATCGGTTTAAGTAGTAGAATTCATTATCTTTTGAATAAAGCTTCAGAGCCCCAGTGGGGGTGTTGGGGTCTGCTGTGATTGGTGGAAAAATTATTATTATTATTATTTTTTTTTGAGCCAGTAACAGGCTGACACATCACTGGGGGTCGTGCCCACTGGGGGTCAGAAGCATTTCTGTTATCTTTTATGTTGATATTTTGGCCGACATACAGAAAATTAACATTTGTTTAGTATGATTTTTCAAAATTTATTTTTACATGAATTTTTATTTATTTATACTTATTTTTTTAAAAAAATATTTTTTAGAGGTACATAATCAAGATGCATTTAAGAAGTAAAAAAAATTGGCTAAAATATTTTTAAAATTATTAAAAATAAACAAAAAAAATTGCATGCATTTTTGTTCTGATTTTTAATTTTTTTAGTGAATCTTTTTAATATTTTAGTTAATTTTTTACATACATATAATCTTAATGTATTTAAAAAATTAAAAACAAATTAATGAAAATATGAAAAAAAAAATTGGAGGATTAACCAATAACTCCTATATTTTGGATTTGTAATCCATATTGTTCCATATTTTTTCTTGTGATCCATTTAGTCTTTTTGGATGTGTAATGACTCATTTTCCCGCTACATTAGAGTGTCACATTTAGAAAAAATACACTAAAATATTTTTTAATGTCACATCATACTCACCACGTTAGAATGTCCCATTTGAAAAAAGTACACTAAATAATTTTTAATTTTTAATTTTTTCAGAGTGTCACATCATACCTGCCACGTTGGAGTGTCACATGTCACATTTGGGAAAAATACACTAAGGAGTTTTTTTTTTGAAGTGTCACATTATACATGTTACATTGTTACGTTTGGAAAAAGTATATTAAAGAGTTTTAAATTTTTTTAGAGTGTCACATCATACCTACCACGTTGTAACGTTTAAAAAAAGTACACTAAGAATTTTTTTTTGAAATGTCACATTATATCTGTCACGTTATCATGTTTAAGAAAAGTACATTAATGATTTTTTATTTTTTCTGAAGTGTCACATTATATCCGTCACGTTGTCACGTTTGAGAAAAGTACATTAAAGAGTTTTTATTTTTTTTGAAGTGTCACATCATACCTATCACGTTGTCACGTTTGAAAAAAGTATACTAAAGAGTTTGTATTTTTTTAAAATGTCACATCATACCTACCACTGTCACATTTGAAAAAGTTTACTAAGGAGGAATTATTTTTTTTAAAGTAAAAGTTTTGGAGTGTCACATTATACCCGTTACGTTGTCCCATTTAGAAAAAGTAAACTAAGGAGTTTTTAATTTTTTTTAAAATGTCACATCGTTAGAGTGTGATATTAATACCTGTCACATTAGAGTATCACATTATACCTGTCACATTATTAAAAGAGTATAATTGTCTACTAAAGTACTACCAAAATAAAAAATAGAACCGCATAAAAATAAACTCCCCACTAATAGGACTTAATAGATCAATAAAAAAAATTTAGAACTAATTAGAGCACTTATTTATTGGATGAAGTTTATTGATAAATATCTCAAAAAAAATCATAAAAAATAAATTAAAATCCGTTTAAAAATAATTTATGAAAATATAAACCAAACAACTTTAGTTTTTGGTAATTGGCACGAAGTATTGCTCCAAGAGCTAGCAATCAATTTTCCTGACGCAAAAGGGTGCTCATAAATAAGCATTATCGTAACAACTCAGAAAAAGTACTATAAAAATAACAAAAATACTAGAGGTCTTAAAAATTTTACTAAAAATTGTACCAAAATTTTACTAAAAATTTTACCAAATGTTTCACACACCCATGTGAGACATTTGGTAAAACTTTTGGTAAAATATTTGGGATCTCTAGCATTACTTTAAAAATAAACATAAATTACACTGCTTTTTTTAAAAAAAGGTTTAAAAAAATTAAAACAAATTTTATAATTTTGACATGATTACATTGATATTTATTTTAGTAATGTTAAAAAGATCAAAATTGATGTAGATACTATACAAACATAAAGATACATAAGATAATTATTTATAGTAATATAAAATAGATGATAAAATCATTTTTTAGTTATATGACTAATGAATTTCTGATGAAAATGTGGATTATATAAATTAAAACTTGAAGGAAATTTTTTTGTTTTAATAATTTGTTTTTTCAACTTTGACTTAAAGATTTTAGGGCTTCTCGTTGAAAATGACATAAAAATAAAATCACAATTTTTTAATTTTTTTTTTATTAAAGACAAAAAGAAAAAAAGAAAAAAAAAGGAAAGAATGTGGATAAATAACTATTGCCAAACAGGCTCTTAGATTATGAAGTCAAATAATGGTTATTCAACAGGAAAATGTTCTAGTACCAAATCTTCACCTAATATATTGATTGATCTGTAAGTCTATAATTGGGAAGGGTGTGGTTGGTCAACCTTTCTTTAATTAATTATTGATTAATTATTCGTATATATAGC